AATTTACACTTTGAGCAGTCTTGGAGAAGAAAATGAACATACAGTTTGGATTATGTATTGATAATTTTACTTATGAGTCAAAAAAATCAGGTACATGTTGAAAATGAAACAGCATTTCTATTAATCCATTTTAATTAGGATATTGTTACTTCTTCGCTTCCATACTTTTATTTGTGAGAGCTTTCTTCTTTATGTGTCATTTAGAGGAAAAATGAAACATGGGAGTCTAACTCATTTTCTCCCAGAGCCACATGAGCATTATGGTTGGCCTAAAAGGTACAGTTGTAATTAACTTTGACATTTCGTGTTTAACTTCCACTAAACATGAAATGTTTTGTTCCTCGTCTCATTGCTACGGCTGAGCACTGCTAACAAACAATAACTGAGCTCTATGTGGTATTTTGTGTGTAGAAACAACATTTTAACACATCCTCTTATAAACACTGAACATTACTGTGTGTACGACTGAATATGAAATAAATAATACAGAAATTCTATTTTATTCATTCATTAGAACAAGAAGAAAAATCTATATACAATAAAAAACAAAACAGAATTTAAAAATGAAATGAAAGGAAGCAGAGGTAAAAAAAAATCGTATAACATCTGACCCTTTTTTCTAAAATAAATTCAAATAATAGCCTACTACAAGCATTTTACAGACTCAAACTCTGAAACAAAAACAGCATCAGGTCCGTCGTTTGAACTGTTTGTCGATATATACTTCTTAGTGTCATATTTTTTAAATGAACCAGCTTTTATTAGCTCTTTAAACATACAAATTGTTCTTTAAGTTTTAATATCATCATCAACCATCCAGATTAATCCATAAAGTTACTTTTATAATTACAGTAACAGTGTTTCAACTGGCTAATTCGAAATGAAGTATGGCGCTTTTTATTGTCTCTATTCCCTTAAGATTATATTGACTCTCTCTTTTAACAAAATTGGATTGAATATTTATAGGTAATATATTTTTATGAGCATTTTACATAATTTATAAGATACTAGAGTATAATCTACTAAATCATAAATCTTCAATAATTTCAACAGTAAATATACTGTATTTCTTGGATGACCATGTTTTCTACTAATAATTATTACAGCTCTCAAAAAAATAGGATTTGCAATTGTTTTACATGCTTTTCCCCAAACTTCAACACAATATACCAAATGTGGTACAACCATTGAGTTATATAATACATCTATCATTTAAAAACTCTTCCACTTAATACAACAATGCAATATTTTTTGCTACTTTCATTCTTAAGTAATAAATGTGAGCTCTCAATATCAGCTTCACATCAATAACAACACCCCAAATTTGGAATTCAGCACCATTAATTCTGAATGGGGCTTCAATATATTCCCTTCTGTTACTAAATATCATGTAGTTTATTTTGTCCACTAAGTAATAGTGAGAGAGTTTTACTCACTGTTGAGATGTGATGAGTAACATTTTGAATTCTGAACTCTTGTGAATACCCACTGTGATTTTTTTTTTCAGGGGAAAATGTTCCTGAGGAGGAGCAGCTGAGCTCTAAAGATCCGAGGAGCATTGAGCAGAACGACAACACTCCTATCATTGACAACCTGCCACCGTCTGCAGGAGGCGTTTCCAACCAGGAGAGGAGGAAATACGAGGAGGACATCAGCAATCTGTACAAACAGCTGGACGATAAGGTGAGAGATTTCTGTCTGAACGTATCAACGTCTCAGAAAGGTGTAATATTTGCTTTTCCATATTTGCAGGATGATGAAATCAACCAGCAGAGTCAACTCGCAGAGAAGCTCAAAGAGCAGATGATGGATCAGGAGGAGGTTACTCACGTTGATCCAAACTTTTTTTCCTGTCTGTACAATTTTTTCATGGGCTCGCTCTTTTCTCCGCAGCTGCTGGCATCCACACGGCGGGACCACGAGAAGATCCAGGAGGAGTTGTGCCGGCTGCAGATGGAGAACGAACTGGCCAAGGAAGAGGTGAAGGAGGTGCTGCAGGCGCTGGAGGAGCTGGCCGTCAACTACGACCAGAAGAGCCAGGAGGCGGAGGAGCGGGAGCAGGTCAACCAGCAGCTGACCGAGGAGCTGCAGCACAAAACGGTGGGTCGTGTTGCAGTCCAGAGTTGTACACTACATTCCCATCATGCCTCAGAGTAATCTTATATATAAAGAACAGTTCATGGTTTTCATGCCAGAATTTTAGACTAAGACCATCTTATAGTGAGAAAAACACCAGTCTGGTGGGTGGAAACCCCTATCTGATTCACAGCACACTAGTATCTGAGACTGGGCAGTCCCTCCTGTTCCAGTAACTGCAGGACCTGGAGACAGAATGGTCAAAGACTGCAATTTTGACAGAGCTAGAAGACAGGTCTGCCTGGAGGAACTTCTCTATGGTGGACATGTCTCCCAATCATTTCTACTGTTTTACAGATGGATCCCTTCTGAAGGGGTCAGGAGGTGCAGGGGTGCTGATTTTGCACAATCATAGTGAGAGAGAGTGCAGATACCCACTAGGTCAGGGGTCTCCAACCAGTAGCTCGTGAGCTCATTTAAAGTAGCTCTTCAGTGCTTATGAAAAATTAGGAGAAGCGAAATTTAATTTGTCACTGGCCAAACAAATTTCAATTTAATTACCATCAATCTATAGAAATCCCTTCCAGTTGGTTGTCATTTAAACTGTATTCAGTGTTCTTTGTGGTGGTTTCATGTAAATTGAAGACAATGTTGTTGTTTTTTGTGCAAATCAAGCTTATTCCAATGGTTTAAGTTTAAGTTTAAAATTAAATGTTGCAAACAGTAGCTCTTGAACAATTTCATTTTGTGAAAGTAGCTCTTAAGGAAGAAAAGGTTGGAGACCCCAGCACTAGGTTGTTTTGCTACTGTATCAAGCTGAGATAAATGCAGTCCACCAGTGTGTGGCATCTCTCAAAGACCTTCAGTGTACACAAAAAGAAAATATTCATCCTAACAGATAGCCAAGCTGCTATTAGAGCTTTCAGAGGGCCACACTTTACATCATTACTGGCTTGGGAGTGTGCCAAAACAGTCAACCAACTGTGGAGAGATAACAGTGTGTAGCGAGTTGGTAGGAGAGAAACAGAGAGGGTGATAAACTGTTTCCGACCTGCACTACACTTTTGCCAAGTCAGGAGGCACCAATCAGATTCAACTGGTAATTATTCACCTTTTTTAATCAGACTCGTATTTACCAAAGTGTGAGATTTGTATGAAATCCATAGAATTCTTATCTCAGGCCAAAATACTCAAAGATGAGGAACCAGCTTTGGCTTTTATGGTAGTTTATTAGAAAAATATAACAAGAATCAGTTTAATTGAATAATGAATAAAAACAGTAAAAATAACATGAAAGACAAAGCAATAAGGTTTATAAAACAGTTAAAGATGAATATTATTGTAGATTTGATGTTATAGCTATCACACTAAATATTAGCTGGATATGTTTGTAAAAATGACAGAGATTTTTTTTGTGTTGGCTACTGTAGATTAGGTGGCCATTTTGAATTGAGTCGACTCCAAATGTTAATCATTTCTAGATATACATCAAATGATTGATCCCTTAAAGTTTCACCTGACTCAATCCAGTAATTTATGAGATCTATTTTGTAAACATTTAAACAGGAATGATTCTAAATCTAAACAGGTCTAATGTGAAATGTTAGCCCTCAAAATATGTGTTTGGGATTACTCTCAACTTTTAATAGACCAAACTTGAACCCAAAACCTCTAAAACTTACTAAATTACTGTCGTTTGTGTGCCTTAAAAATCTCTGTTTTATGGACAGGTGCTGCTGACAGTGGTGCAGCAAGAACTGAGCCAGCTGCAGGAGCTGAACGCTCTGCAGAGGAAACGAGCTGCCGAGGTGCTCAACTTGCTGCTGCGAGACCTCCACGACATCGGAGCCATCATTGACAGCAGCGACGTCAAGATGGCTGCGGTGAGCTCAGAGTATTCAGCAGTCGCATTCACCTTTCATCGAGCTCCAGATTTGCTGGTTGTTAAAAAAATAAAACCTCAGATGAAACCCAGTTGAACTGCTCCTCTTCCTCACTCAGACTTTAGAGATGAAGGGGAATGGCTCTGCCATGGAGGAGGAGTTCACCGTCGCTCGGCTCTACATCAGCAGGATGAAGTCAGAGATCAAGTCTCTTGTGAATCGTGGCAAGCAGCTGGAGAGCGCTCAGGCCGATGCCCACCGCAAAATCCAGGCCAATGAGAAAGAGCTGGCCTCCTGTCAGCTGCTTGTATCCCAGGTAACCATCAAACACACAAACCTTTAGCAGGATTTTATTCATATCGTTTTATAAGCACTATCCTATTTTGGAAAAAATGTTGGTTTCTTGTGTAAAACGTGAATATGAACAGAATGCTTTTATTTGCAAATCTCCTATATCCACATTTTATTTACTATGGAATATAGAAACGGAGAAAGCTGTACATTTTTTAAATACAATATAATAACTTTGAATTATATGGTGGTAAACACATTTTTAAAAGGCTGGGCCAGGGTCAACAAAAAGCTGTAAAAGTAAGTGGTGCAAACAAGAAAAAGCTGGAGGAGCATTTTGCAGCAAACTAGGTGAATTGTCAACAGGTCAGTTAAACTGGGTATAAAAGACTGGGTCTAAACAGAGCATTTTAACATGTCAGACGCAAAGACAGGCAGAGGTTCACCGCTCTGTGAAAAACTGTCTAAAATAGTGGAAATATTTCAGAATAAAATTCCGTACTGGAAAATTGTGAAGACTTTGAATATAAAATTATTATGATATAATAAAACATTATCTACAATTCATAAGGTCATAAAAACCCTAGAATCTGCATAAATTTTTTAGCATTAAGGACAAGGCTGAAAGTCAGTATTTGATGGTCCACTACTTTAAAAACTTGTCTGATTTCTTTTTCACTGCATGGATTCAGGAACACTTGCACAAGTCATTGTCTGTAAACACAGAACCGTTCAAAAATGTTGGTTAAACATTGGTTCAAAACTGCAATTTTGTTCTGCAATGCATCTTTGATGTTGTGTGTGAATGACAATAAATGATTCTGATTCTAAATAAAAAATAGGTTTATTAGGTCCTCTGGACAGTTTCTCCTTTAAAGGGATCCACGATTAGTTGTAACATTAGACTTTATTTGATAAACATATTTTAACTGTAAAATAAAGATTGTAAAAATACTGTAGGCTGTTCAGTTTTTATAATTTTTAAACTAAAAGTTTAAAAATATATTACACAGATGGAGACATTTTATTTACATGCAAAGCATTCTGGGTAAATGATGACATCAACTAGGTCATCGGTGCGAGGCTGCTAGCGAGCTATATCCACCCTGAAGGTTAATCTTGGACAATATCTGATGATCGACTCTTTAAATGAAACCAGAGAGCGTTGACAGAGAGGAGAAGGTAGAAATGACTCAGCCTGTAACTGAAAATATAGATGGAGGACAACAGAGCTGCTTCATGGAAGAAGAACCTCAGCTTAACCTGTTAGCTTTAGCGTTAGCCCCAACGCTATCACCATATATATGTATTAGCTCAGCGCTACACATTCTCCTCTCGTCACTGAGGTCCTCCATCCACTTGACAGAGAGGGGAACACAAAAATGACTCATTCTGCAACTGAAAATATGGATGGAGGACCTCAGTTTAGCTTGTTTGTCACGCTAGCGCCGAGCTAATACATATAAGGCAATATAGCGTGAGGGCTAGCGCAAAGGCTAACAGGCTAAGCTGAGGTTCTTCTTCCATGAAGCAGCTCTGTTGTCCTCCATCCATATTTTCAGTTACAGACTGAGTCATTTCTACCTTCTCCTCTCTGTCAACGCTCTCTGGTTTCATTTAAAATAGTCGATCATCAGATATTGTCCAAGATTAACCTTCAGGGTGGATATAGCTCGCTAGCAGCCTCGCACCGATGACCTAGTTGATGTTATCATTTACCCAGAATGCTTTGCGTGTAAATAAAATGGCTCAGTCAGTGTTAAAATATATTTTAAAAAATTTACAAACGTAAACGGCCTACAGTATTTTTACAGTCTTTATTTTACAGTTAAAATAAATGTTTATCAAATAAAGTTTAATGTTACAACTAATAGTGGATCCCTTTAATGAAATGGTTAGTCTCTCCTTCAAGAGACTTCTTCAGTCTGAGGAGTTTTAGGTGAGCTCAGCCTTATAAACAGTGCCTCCACATGGTGGATAAACAGGTCTAATGATGACAATCAGCACTGTTTGTTCTAAAGAGGACCCTCAGCCTAACAATAGATCCTAACGTTCACACCGAACGCGTTTTGAGCGGCCAAAAAGTGCAAAACGCCTCTCGTTGGACGCACTATGTTCAGACCGAAGAACGCACTAGTGTTCAGACCAGAACAGAAGCAGCAGCTGTGGCAGCCGGGTGTGGGAGGAGCGTCTCCTCGGCGGGTGAATAAAGATAAAATAAAAGAAAATGGCTTTGATTTCTTTACTAAAAAGCAAGCGAACGTTGGACACAGCAGATAATTAACTCTCCAGATGATTTAGAGGCGATTTTTTTTTTGTTTGGTTTTGTCACTCCAGTAGCTGCCAGCTGACGGACTTTTTTCTTTAATTTTTTTTTGTCATGAGCAGTTGATCCACATCGGTGCTGTTATATCCTGCCAGTAAATCCAACTGCACGCGGTCGATTTCAGGTAAAGATCTCCAGTCCGTCTGTTTCGGTTTTCAGTGGGAGACGCGTCGAGCGACGAAAAGTTCAGATATTTGAACTCTGGCGGTGGCTGCTTCCGCAGCACCTCAAGCGCAGAAAACGCTCTGCGCCCCTTCCGCCCAAAACGTATATGACGCGACGCACGACCCCTAGAGGCGCGTCCATCATAGACTTTGCATATGAATCGGCCGCTCCTGCCGCTCAAAACGCGTTCACTGTGAATGTAGCATTAAAGCTTTCTTAGAGCCAAACTCTGACCTAACTTTGCATTAATCTGTTCTTGTCGTGCAGATCATGCTGACACAACAGTCTGTTTAAATCTTTTGTGATTATTAACAGGTCTCTCTTGTAAATGAGATCTTGGCTCTCAATGAGACAACCTGTATAAATTAAAGTCAAATAAATAAAAAATAGGATATAAAAAAACAAAAGGAAAAAAATTAGCCTGAGGCATGCTGATATCTCTTCTTACCAGCAATAGTAATAAATTTGCTAATCCTTAATCTGACCAGAATTTAACAACCCTTCTCTACAAATTGAGAAAACATTATAGTTTCTTAAACTGGTTCATTTGTCACCTAACTAATAGAAGACAATAAAAAATATTTCCTTTTGGATATAATTTTTCCTTCTTAAAAAGGTTAAACATTAACCTTTACTTAAACATCAACTTTTATCTTAAACTTAAACTAAGTTTAGAGCTAAATATTTAGTTTTCAAATTAAATATTTAAAATTCAAGCTAAATATTTCGCTCCAGATTAAATTTAGTTACCAAGCTAAATATTTAACTTACAAATTAAATATTTAGTTAGCACT